CGGCGGTGTGGCTGCGGCCGGAGCGCCGCGGGGAGGCAGCGCTGCGCCTCCGGTCCCGGGCTGAGCCAGCCAGGACGGGGCTCCCGCCCCGACCGGCCTCGTCAGGCCGATGAGGGAGAGAAAAGCCTTAGCTAGACCAAAAGATGTGACTGGGGGAAGCGACAGGCTTTTGGCTACCCAAGATCATGTTCATGTCTGACCTTCTGCTCTGGAGATTTGTGAGTCCCAAATCATGTCTATAGACTACCTGTGTTACTTGGTTTATCAAAAGCTTGTATCTCTCTCTAGAAAGCTTGGCTTGCCTTAGATCATCACCTAACAACAACAATGCTACTACTTGTTCCTTTGACGGCTGGCATTGATTTTTACTGACAGCAAAATAATAGGCTTTTCACATTCCTGATCTGAGTTGAAGAACAAATTTGGGGTTTTGTAAAGCATGGTTATTGTTAACCCTGTAAAATCTAATGTTGACTTCCAAAAAGAAGATTTAAAGATGTGGATGTGAAAAAACATTCTGGCTCTGCAACAGTAAAGGGCTTTTACCCTCCAACACTCACTTGCTATGGGAGGAATTTAAATGGCAGTGTACTCACTCACAGTACAGATGAGGCACCTAGTAATGTTTGCCCTTGTGGATTGTCCAGCCCTTGTTCCCCTGTGTTGACATGCTTCTATACATTCTCCATCTCCACTTTCCTACCTGGGGCAGACACCAGGACTTTCTCCTTTGCAGCAACAGACACATTTGAATCAGTTTACACATAAGACATCTACAAGTCACAAGGCTGATTCTTACAATAGACAGAGAGTGGGAAATAAAAGAAAACAAAAAGCTTTCTTGGAAGAGGAAGAGGACTGACAGATGGAATGACCAGAAAGTAATTTACTCTTTGGTGTGAGGATGCAATTTATGGCATAACAAGAACTTCCTACCACTCAATATCTTGTCTAACGTGGTGTGTATATCCTATTAAATACCTGCCACCCTGCAAATCCTCCCTAGCTCTGTACCCACCAGGCGCTGCATTGTCGCTATGTTATATCTTTTTCTCTCCCTCCTACAGAGTGAAACAAAGGTGTCAATGACAGGCAGAATGAGACATGAGAGAGTTAGAGACTAACCCTCATGTGGGTCTGGTAACAGCTGTCATCTGAGCAGAGCATATCCTGGATGGGCTCACATCCAGCTGGTACTGCTGGCTAAACATGTTTTGTGCTCTCTTAACAGCTTCTTTACACATTTCAAAGGACAGATTACTCAACATTCAATTCACTGCTTCTGGAGGAATGAATGGACCACTGACTCCCAGGATATGAGAATGCTCATCTTGGACATAAACTAGACAAATGTATTCCTTTTAATTATCTAGCAATGATAGCAGTGATGAGTAATTATCAGCAGTATGATAAACTATCCTTCTAAATATCTATGTTGCCACTGGGGTTGAAGTGATTGAGGACTAAGACACTACAGTATTATAAAATAGATGTATGTTTTGCATTGTCCTGTGTAGTCCAGATGAGCTGTGCTTTGTTTTGCCTTTGCCAGTTTTTCTTTCTCCATGGGGCAATTCTAGTACATGCCTCCTCTGCCCCAGCTCAGGAAAGGCAGAGGGTTGAGAAGAGAGCTGTGCTTCCACCCAGTAGCAGCTAGTGGATTTACCACATCTCCTTGGAAAAGTGCTGAAACAGAGTAGAACTGCCTTATCTGTGGGTTCCCAGGAAAGAGACAGGAGAAGGTATTGTGGGGGGAAAGGAATACACTTCCCAGAAATGGAGAGTGGAAGAAAACCTTCTAGTCCCACCTCATACTGTTGCCTTCACTGCAGTTTATTGTCCTCCGACAAGGACATGAAGCCCCATGGGTGTATTGGAACGATTTATCTCTATTAGTATTCTGAAAATTCACATGGCCATTAATGAATGACAGCCTTGGAAGTATAAGAATCAGTGTTATAAAGTTCAAGACTGTGGAAGAGGATGTTTATATTTGTTTTAAATGAAACTGATTTCAGTCACTTGCACTCATTCACTCCTATTTCACACATTCACTCATAGTCATAAGCACCAAGATGTGTGTGTGTGTGATCTGCTCAGGACTCTGTGTATGTGTGTGTGACACAGAGGACAGGGGACAGCAGCTCCTGAGTCCTTGGGATGCCTCTTAGGTTTGTCTTGATCAGGCAGAACACAGCACAATTTTGACAAGCTATTTTATGACCCCTGGGAGTCAAGATGTCATGGCATGACTGTGACCTTAGTTTTGCATTTTTCATCCTCCCTAATTCTTAGGCAAGGTTACTGCCCATCATCTTTGTTTTCTCATTTTGGGTATCTTTATTGCTGCCTTCCTGTTGAGAGAAAAGGGATGGGCCATCTGTGATGTGATTCTGTCTGAGCACAGACCTTCTGGTCTTGATGTATGCATATTCCTTATTACCTACTTTATTGCTGTTGCTTCTACCCTTGTTAAAAAATATGTACCATATTTTTAAGCCTTGGTTTTTATTGTATCACTATAAAGATAAAAAATATCAGAGTAAGTAGTGATTCAAACAAGCCTATGGATTAAAAAGAATACCTCAAGAATATATAAAGACTTTTGCAAACCAATTTATAGTGGGACAGTGTAAGGCTAAAAGAAATAAACCTCTGTGGCACATGTGTCAAAAATCCTGCATTGGGCTGCTGCTGTTTACTTATTTGTTATGAACCTGGATATGGAATAATCAGATCTTAGCAGGTGTTATCTCTCGATTTACAGTCAAGTCTCTCAACAGCAAAGGACATCATTAATGACTATCAAGAGTGAATAACTAAAACGATTTTTTTGAGGCCCAACCTGCAAATACTGTTCTTGGAAATGAAGGGATTCAGTGAGTTTTGTTTTGGTTTGTTTCTTTTCATGGTCTGGGTTTCGGTGATTCTGAATATCCTACTTAAGAGATATATGTGCACCATTTCCCTTAGAAGAATTTAAAGCTTGAGCCTTGAGGGTCATTGATCATATCATGTGTCTGGAGTGTGTTGTAATGGCAGAAAACCAAGTGTGTTGAAATTTGGAGTATCTCCATGTAGAAAGGTAGATCAGAGGGGAACTATGATTATGTCTCTAGAGAAGTAGTTCTGTGCCAAGTGTGCGAATGAGGGGGAACAACTGCTGTGATCACTGCTGGGTGTGTTGTGTTTTCCTTTTCTTGCCAGCTGAAAGAGATGCTGGGTGCATGTAGTGCACGCCAGCAGAAATGCAGCGTAAGTTGTGTTCATGTGATTGAAGCGAAATTCTGTGTACAGTGAGAGCAGAATAATATGTCTTGAAAGACTACAATGGGAATCACTGGCAGGAACCACAGAGAAAATAGCACCAGGAAAACGTAGAAAAGCTGAAACTTTTGTGACTAACTGGCAAGAAAAAAATCTGGTAGACACTCAACTTATTGAATAGGTATTAGACTCCCAGCAAGACACCTATGGAAGAACTTGTCTGGCAATATGTAACAGAAAATTTCAGGAGATATCTGATGGAAATTCTTGCAGGAAGGTGAGCAATAGCTGCTGGTGACTCCATGAAAAAAAGGACAGATGAAGCCAACAGCACAGTGATAACAGGGCAGAATGATGCAATTTTGAGGCACTTGACAGACATAAATGCTAATCTTTCCACCAGAGAAGCAGCCAGGATCACAAAAAATTGACAATAGAAGAATGTAGAAAAATATATTTTGAATTCAGTGTGTGGAACACAATAAGGTGTCAAAGAATTTAGAGAAATATTTCACTTGTTTTTCTCCTAGAGCCTGAGAAGAAAAATAATAAAATACAATTCTTGAAGATAAAGAGAATTTTGATATAACTGACAACACAACAATGTCAGAATGATTTTCTGACTAGCATGTTGAGGGTTCACATAACCTGTGTGGGAAGAAGGTGTGGTATAATTCCATGAAACTTAAAGTTCTGACAAGCGTTCCACAATGACCAGACATGAAAAGAATGTCAAAATTTTCCTGGAAGAAACAAAGTATTTTCCCTTTATATTTGAAGAAGCTGACATATGTCAGAGAGATGTAAAACTCTGAATTCCACTGGGATACCTGCAGACACAGGTTTTGTATAAACTCAACAAGAGATTGCCTGACACCACAATCAAATCTATCTCACCCAGTTAGGAGAAACAAGCAAGCAAGCAAGCAAACAGACAAAAAGAAACCCAAACAAAAATCATTTTAGAACAGTTTGCCTAACAACAAGTTAGTTCCTATCCAGCTACCAAAGAAGAAAACCATCTTTACAGGTATAGCCTTTCCCCTTTCTCTTGCAGTCTTTGTCCTTTTTCCTTACAAATATTCTGGAAAATTTGTTCCTTTCACATATCAATAGGATACAAGCTGAATATCATAACCAAGATTTTAATGTCTATATTCAATAATACTGACCCAGTATCAGCTTCTAAAGCTTCTAAAGATGAAGATCAGTCAGCATATGCAAGCAGGAAACCTTAACAAAACCATTGTAATTGGATCCATTTAGAATCCCAGATAAACCCCTAAAATTTGTAGATGGTAGCTACATAAGCAGAAAAGCAATTATTTCCTATATGCATAAATATTTTAACTAAAATGGAATCCACTGACAGCTAAGTTCAAAGTTTTTTTAGTGAGAATCAAATTTGCCTATAAAAAGGCACTGTGGTTTTTTTTTTTTACAAATCTATCTTTAATATCCAAATTAAGACAATATAATTCTGTAGTTTAGGCTAATAATAAAACCATTTTGATATCTTCCTTTCTACAGTGTGTATCTATATCTATGTATCTCTGGTTTTCCTGCATGTCCTTTGAATTAAATTCTGAATTATGTGGGCATTTACCCACAACAGCAAAAATTATTTTTCATCTCTGACCTGTGTTCCTAAAAATCTGAATATTAAACCTTCATCTTCGACTCCAAGAGACTAATCAGAACATGTGTCAAAGAAGCTGAGAAAAATCTTTACAAGGCTGATCAATCTTTTCAGTAACTAAGTTCTTCAATGCTTCAATTTGAAAATGTGCATATTTTTAGAATTCCAGCATATTCCTCATTTCTATGTGCATTGAGTTTTCACATTTTTAAAATTCTGCAAATTGACACATTTTTGTTACTATCAGCTCTCTTTCAGGCACCCTTGGGATTTAAAAACTCTCCTTATTAGTTGAAATTATAGAACAAACATGTTGGCAAGCTATTTTTACCAATAACAACATGCTTGGAAATTCTGAACCTCTGTGAATATATCTGAACAAATGTAAAAAGCACTGGTCTGAGCAGTAACCTCTAACCTTCTGCATTTTTTTTTTGCCCTTCAATTGCGTTCTTAGATGTTTCTGAATGCATAGATAGACTGCCATATGGTAATCTTCATTAGGAAAAGGATATGTCCAAAAATAGTTGAAGAAAAAAAAAAAAAAGCAATTCATCACCTGGATGAGGTTCCTGGTCCTGTTCGTTGTGCATTTCCACAAACTATTGCCCTGGCATCAGTCAGAAATTGGACATGGGCAAGGACAGCCTAAGGCAGTAGAAGAAATGTTTGTCAACCAGCATCCTCAAGCACATACACAGCCTGCTACAAACATCGTGTTACGTCTCTTCACAGGGCTTATACAAACCCGGCTGTGCTGAGGTAGCTCCTTCAGCTGTCTTAAGTGTCAGTAAAATCCCCCTTTCTCTAAATCTGAGCACAGGCCAATAATCATATATAAACACCCCAGCTCTTCAAGATAGCCTTTTTCATTTCCATGGTTCTCAATTTAGCACTTAACTGTGTCTGTTGAAATAAGCTACCAGTCTGCATGTGTGATAAGTCACATTATTTTGAGTGAATTATGACACAACAGAAGTGTCTGCAATAAATCACCCATCTACACTACCCTGCCCACTCAACAGAACACAGCCATAAAGTCTCATTTCTTGAGTGATGATTTCTTCACTATTTTTTATTTCAAACAGTGCTGGAAAATAACAGCTCCTATTTTCATTCTCCATTAAAGCTAACTTTGATTGAAGCCCAGATCTTCATAACAAAGTCCAACCTTTTACTACATGTATGTTTCTGAAAAGAGTCAGTGATCAGAGAGCAGCAGTGTCCTCAACTCATAAAAAAAAAAAAGAAATGAACAGCACATACTTTGAAGACAAGTTCTGCATTTGGAAACCGCCTTCTCTGTCACTCTTGAGACAGGTGCTATGGAAGATGGCTCCAAATTGGTTTTATCACTCAAAAAGTATTTTTCCTTCAAAAAATTTCCTACCCAGCTGCCATCTGTGTTGAGTTACACATATATAACTCAACAGACAGAAGAAGGTGCTTTTGTCTTTCCATCTGTGCCAGGTCCTTTGTCTGCAAACAGTGAGCTTTGCTGTTTGAATAAAAATAATTTCCTGATATCCATGTTGCTAATTGAATTTATAGTTTGAACCTAACACACCTTCAATTCATTATAATATATGAGTAATTTTCTTTCCTTGTTACTATTTGTAGCATAAATATTGATGTACAAACCTTCCATGTATTCCATTTCCTTCTAAATACCATACATAACTGGACATCATGCCCTACTTTCTTTGCAACTCTGCCCCCACTCCCTGCTTCTCTTTAGGAAAAGTAAATTTGATCAGATTTCTACTATTTGGTAGTTTCTAACTTTGTAAATACTCTTTCCTTGCATTAAGCTGTTTAGAAAATGCACAGTTCTTCTTGAGATCCCAAATGTTCACATTCTAATGTGTAACTTCTTACCCAGTGTGCTCCAATCCTCCTGAGATCTCACAACTGAATCATGCAGTCTTGAATTATTAGCTGTACAATTTGCTACATTGTACATTAATTTAGGCATGCAGAGATTGCATACAAAAGCAAGTATTTTTAAATACTTATAAAATTAATAAAACAATAAAATAAATATTTTTAAGACTTTAAATTAAGGTTTTTGTACCTTTGTTTTGCACTGTTCAAAGTGACAAAGAACCTGACATTCCTTCAGAATGCTAAGTATTTAGTATTGAATGTAAGCCTTGTAAACCTTTTTCTCAGTAAAAATTCAGTTTCTCCTAAAGAAATAGTTAATACCTTGAAAGAAGATCTTTTCACATTATGGCCATTCTAGATAACACCTCTCGGACAGCTGCACTTTTGCTGATTGTTTGGAAATCAATTTCATTTACCACTATCCACCTTTTTAGGATGCACCTTGATCACATCTAAAGGTTTCTCCAGACCCAGGTGTTCAGACTAAAAATTCATGTTTGTATACCCTAAAGCTAAATAATTTTAAGGCAAAATGGTTCTACTGAACTAAAAAATACCCAGTTTAATGCGTACAGTGCAGTGGACATGCGAGGCTATGCATAATACTCTGATCTCAACTTTATGGAGGCTGACTACAGCGTTTCTTCCTGATTATCAACACACTCTAAACCTAGCTTTGCCTGTCATACTTCAAATTATTGTTCCAAATTACTTTAATATGATGGCCCATTAAGCTCATCCTCTTAACCCAAATGTATCCAGTGAATTAAAAACAGTCCCCACAGTAGCAATCAAATGTCTCCTGTGCCTACTCGTCACAGGAAGCAAAGTCATCCTTGATGAATTCTATCAAGCTAAGCTACAGCAAGCAGCAGCTTCTTTCCCATCATCCAGCTGTACTTCTGTGTTAAAATCCCTGTCAATTATACAAAAAGTCTGCCCCTCTTCAGGGTGTAGGTGTATCAAAATTCAAATTAAAAGAAAACACATCCAGTTTTTTAGTATTTCTCTCCCCAGTTTCATGACTGAAGGCAACCTCCCTCTGTGTTTTCTCACTCCCCTTTCTTTCAGATTTCAATAATATGTTTTTTATGTCTCTTTCTTCACAGGGGCAATCACTGAATAGCAGAATCCAAATACTTCTGTTAAGCCTCCAGTTCTCTAGATAACAGGACATTGGTAGGACCTTACTTAGATTGTTGGAGATAAGTGTTCAACG